ATATCGATTTTCACACAGATGGCTAAGACTAGCAGTAATCAAAATGTCTAAGACTTTAAAAAAATAAAAATAAAACAGAAACAGACTTTAAGGATAAATAAGTACATAAATAAAATGTATTGATCATAATATTCTCTTTGCAAGCGATTTAATCACTGGACATTGCACACTAGATAATGTTCATGAATTGGACTTCTAAACACATAACGAGACAAGATACTTCGTGTCTCAGGAAAAAGGATAGAAGAAAAGAATGTGAGAATTACTGAGATAAATTATTCATCACCTGATGAAGGAAAGGCTCAAATGTATCACGGGCCTTTGCAACAGCTATTACGCAAGCTGTCCTGATTGATCAAAAGTAAGTTTGAAAACGGAAATGGATTAATAGAAAACAAAACAAAAAAATTTAAGAAAAATTTGAAACACAACTACTACAGCTTAAAAACCAGTATCACAAGTATGATTATATAATAAAATTATAAATACCTTGAGTAGTTTGTGCCGTCATGTAAATCTTCAACTCCACATGCATTTACAATTTCTTCCCTTGTAATTGGAGGGCATTTTATTCCTCCAACTACAAAGCGGAACTCAGCCATGGCACGGTGGTATTGTGCACCACCATATAAACGCATTCCTGCATTCTACAAATGAAGTATACACAGTGCTTAGATGCATGTATACGAAACTCTGAGAAGGTACAAGTCAGTTTGGGTCCAGAACACAAGAAACAATTATGTATTTTGCAGTCTTATAGAAACTATCACATAGATGTTAACAAGATACAAACAGAGAAAGGAAAGCACAAATAGCCTGATTTTTTTCAGTGTGTTATTCAGTATTAGAAGTGACAGAAAGAAACAAGCCTGATTCATATATGAAGATTAAAAAAACATGCCAAAAAATCCGGAGAGAGAGAGAGCAAAAAACTTTCAGCAAAAAAGACGCCAACATGCAAGACATGCAAACACAGAAGGAAAAAAATAAAGAAAAAGGAAAATTTACAGTCTAAGAATTCTTTAACTTACAGGTATAAGCTTGTGAGGGAACTGAAGGCCATCACTGCTAACAAATGCCCCTCCGTTAGTCCTCTCATCCTGTAGTGTCTCACCTTGAAAGAGAAATGACATATAAATGAAAGTAAAACAAACAATAGTCCAACAACACAGCATGAAACAAGGCACAATCTTAAAGGGCGGGAAACAGCGATGTTGATATTTGAAAGATTACAAAAGCTATCCTTCTTTAGTAACCTTATGCTTAAATTGTTTGTGATAATAACTGATAAGAAACATTAAGCTGAATTACCAAATCTATCTGGCGGTGCAACAACCGTTCCTTTTAGTAGCAACGATAGCTGAGGAATAAAGCTAACTTTTGTCAGTAAAAATACAAACAAAATAGAAATCATAAATTTTAAGGCATTAAAATACCAACGTAAAACCCTGAAACAAACAAATTAATCAAAAAACGTAAAAAAAAGAAAGGTCTTATGAAATCATGAGACTTCTATTGTTACCACAAACAAATAGAAACTAACCATTATGACTAGTTCACATGATTCCGTCCACCCTAACAATTCTGAAGAGTAAAAAAGGCCCTAATCTACTTTTGACCACACTTCACATCCTGTCAAATGCATGAGGCTAAGGTGGTCCTACCCTTCAGCATTATTGCATGAGGACATTCTCAAGTGTCAAACGCCACATTTTCTACTAGATAAGGTACAATATATAATCGGAAGGTTCAGATGCTGAGATATTGATAAAAATAACATAAACTCTTTGTAACACAGAATGCCTCAACTAAAAATACCTTTGTCAAGAAGAGATCATGAAATACTCTTCCTTTTTCCTTTAGTTTCAGTTCATCCAAAGTGCTGCATAAACACAAGAATGCAATATAATCAACCAATATAAAAGAAAGAAACCAATGATCAAATATTTATAATACCAGAAAAATATAATTTGCTTAATGGTTGTACCCCCTTCGTGATCCATGTTCTGATCAGAGTTTAAGAAAATAAAGTGCCATAAATTGCATCCAATCTGTTAATTGCCTTAAAAGAATATGCTTTGTCAGTAAAAAAACCTGAGTTCTTGATTTATTTCATTCATCTTTCTTGTTGCGCTCCGGTACTCCTTCTCAAGAAGTGGAATGATCAGTGGCACATTATCCATATACCTTGCAGAATATATTTCCCAAACTTTTAGGCATGGAACTTAGCAGGTTGACAATTAACTATGTTATTTTCATCACAATACGAAAGGTCAAAACTATGGGTACCTTTTCTGTAGCAATTCTTCCAAAAAACACCTAAGTTTGCTTACACCTATTCTACTTCTTTCTTGTATTGACAGTGACCGGCCCAATTTCTCCTCCAAGCTTGCAACATCTTCCATCTCTCTTAATGATATTGCCTGCATAATAAAATAGTGCAAACCAACCATATCTATGATTCTGTTTTATTTTTAAAATTTTAAAAAACATAATTTTATACCAGCATAAACTATCTTATGCTTTTGTTTTAAAAGAATAAACACGAAGGACTTGTCAAAAAGAGTTCACAGAAAAATTAGCTTAAGAAGTTTAGCATTTTAATTAATTAATTAATTAACTAATTCTGCATAGTTCAACACTGAAATTCCTGTATAGCCAGAAAGGGAAAGAACAAAAAAAGAATAAACTTAAAAACCATTTTTTTTCAATATGCACTTTGTAAACAGAATTGTATCCGGGTTAACAGCGCAAATATCAGTACAGTGGCTGGTAAGTCTGAAATATACCAGGCCAAAGTTCGGAACAGCAGCGTACATATTACAACCCTTATACTGCCAAATTATCACTACTGGAAAAATGTTTCTTTCAGTAGAAATACCATTAGTTAGAAACATGGGAGCAATTAGAGTCGACTAAAAAACAAATTTTGACTTCGAAAGTTGCTTTAAGGATCAGTGGATTAAATTATGACACTTAATTTACTACAAATTACTAAATAATAGAGATGTACAATAAAACTTATGGTTTATTATCATTAAGGTGATCAAACATAACTCAGTAGTGGAATCTTGGAAATTATAAATGAAGGACATTGAAGGAACATCGCAATCCTTCCTTGTTATTTATTCTCCAAAAATGAATACAAGATAAGCACGAATACCTTTTTGAACTCATCATTAGATCTATAAACCGAATCATGTCCAGAGCCAACTCTTCCAGAGGGCACAGAAGTGAAAAAGGGAGAGTCACCCAAGATGCAACCATCAAGCATGCATGTGGGAGGTGACAGAAATACTTCCACATCTGATGAACGCGCAAACTGGGGAATTTTGGTATCAAGCTTGGTTGAAACAATCACAGTCCTTGAGAGCTCGGGATCAATCTATACATGATGCAACCAAGGCAAAGCTTTACGCTAGAGTTCAATAAACAACACAATGCCTAAAAAGGCGGAAAAGGAAGTGGCTACCTGCATTACGACCCTTCGTGTAGTTGCATTACTCCAGTCACTGCAATCTTCAAGACACAATATAATAAACTCTTTATGCTGCATTTTAGCTCGAACTAGAGCTTCCACAGCACGAGCTTGGACCTGACATCAGCTTTAAGCAAACAACTATCAAAATTCAAAACAAAATCACCATTGCAAACCCCAATTTAGCCAAGACAAATACCTAGTCAGTAGACTAACTCAGTACACCAATCATTTATTTTTACTAATAAAAATAAAAATTTCCCTAATAAATGTAACTATAGTTACTCTCTCTCATGATATACATTACCCAAATTGACCAGAAAAGAAAACACATCAGCAGCATTTCAATTCAAAATTCAGTACAATAATAAGCAAATTGACCACCTGTAAAGCTCGATTCTTAGGACCAGGAGCAGGAGCAATAAGCCCGGGAGTGTCGATGATAGTGAGGTTCGGGCAATACTTGTAGTCGACCCGAACAATAATCTCCTTGGCGGAGAAGAGACAGGGCTCCTTCTCCAACCTCATGTTTTCAGCCTCAATGTAGGCCTGAATCTCTTGGAGGGAGAGGGACTTCTCGTGAGGCTCAGAATCAGAATCGGAATGGGAACCGGAATTCGAGGGGAGGAGGAGGCGGCAGAGAGGGGAGTGGGCGTCGGCATCGTACTTCATGTGGAGGGTGATGGGGCGGCGGGTCTTGGTGCCGCCGCCGACGTGGTTGAACTGGAAGCCCATAAGTGCTTCCACCAAAGCGCTTTTGCCGTCAGTCTGGTGGCCAACCACGAGTACCGCCGGAGCGTCAAAGGGAGTGTCGAAGGCTTGGGCGAGGCCGTGGAGCTCGTTGTAGGCCTCGTACAGACGACACTGCTCCTCCTCCCATACGCCATTTTCGTTTTCCATTTCTGCTGCCCTTTCCTCCTCCCTCGACATTTCCTTCCTTATCAGCCTAGACGACGACGAGGAGAAGGAGGAAGAGGAGGAGGAGATACGGTTGAGTGGGAGGGGGAGTGAGAGTGGAGTGGAAGCCAGTGAGAGAGATTTCTGTTTCTGCTTTGATACTGTACAGTATTCAGATAGGAGAGGAGGAAATTTCAAACATTATCTCCTTTTTTTGTTTTGTTTTTTTATAAGCCACGACGGCCCACGCCTGAACTTTTTGTTCTTTAAACAAGCGATATTGGAAAGATATATACAGCCGAAACGACTTCATATACCAAAAACCCGGGTATAGCCGCGCGGCCATACTAAAAAAAAAAAAAACCAGCGCGTATTACCGAGCGGCTATACTATTTCTTTGTTAAAAAAAAATTTTAAACCCAGTATGTCCGCGCGGCTATACTATTCCTTTGAAAAGACCGACAGAGTATAGCCGCGCGGCTATACTCATCCGTTCTTTTAAAAATTAAAAATAAAGTATAGCCGGCTATACTATTGCTCTTAAAAAATAAAAACCGAGTATAGCCGATCGGCTGTACTATTTCTTTTTAAAAAAATAAAAACCACGTATAGCCGATCGGCTATACTATTTCTTTTTTAAAAAAAATAAGAAACCGAGTATAGCCGTTCGGCAATACTATTTCTTTTATATAAAAAAAAAAAGGAAAAAACGAAGTATGGCCTAGCGGTCCAAGAGATCTGATCTGCTGCGATTAAGCTTTCCCAAGAAATGTCAAATTTTTTAACCCCCAAGTTTCTCCAACTTTTGTCAAGGATGCTAAGCAAGCCAAGCATATTCATGGAAAATCTTAATATGCAATCAGCAAAACTTTTCTTTCGGAAAAATTGCAAGCTTTGTAGCTCCTTGTATTCCTCGAAAGTCCAAGGGAAGGCCCTCACGGTACCATCTTCAACACCCCAAATTTCACTCTTCTCTTCATCCTCGCACAGACGCGATATCAGAATAGAATCATGACTCACCAGTATAACTCCACCGGTGAACTCATCAAGTGCATCAGCCTGCATATCTAAATGATTTGTGGGTTCACCCAAGAGCAAAATGTGGGGCCTTTGACATGGATATTGATGTGAAGACAACACAGGGTTTCTACCCTCCTGATAATTTTGATTCATCAGAGTTGTTTAGGCTTGGATGGTGGTTGGGTTACATACAGGTGGTGGTTGGCTGCGGTTGGGTGGAAGCTGTGTGTGGGTTACAGGAGGAAGAAGATGATTTCGATTACAATTTCAATTTCAATTTCAATTTCGTTAACCTAAACCCAAGGAAAAAAATCGAATTTAAGAAATTAGAAAAACCTAGTATCGCCGGGCGGCTATACTATTTTTAAGATATTAGAAACACCGCGTATAGCTGAGCTATACTATTTTTTAAGAAATTAGGGAAAACCGAGTATAGCCGGGCGGCTATACTATTTGCTTTTAAAGAAATTAGAAAAGCCCAGTATAGCCGTCCGGCTATACCATTTCTTTTTTTAAAATAAAAACCGAGTATAGCCGCCCGGCTATACGATTTCTTTTTCTTTAAAAAAGGGGTCACTACTCGAAACTCGTTTAACAAAACAAGTCACGGCGTATCCGCAAGGGTACGTAGGCAATTCAACATCCAACTAGATGCAACCACAACCAAATTTAAAACACATGTTACAATTAACCAAATTCAACCCAAATAAAATTCTTGGATTGTTCTCAGCAAATTTGCCCCAAACACTACAAACTTCCATGCCCAAATCACCTTAAATCTCCATCAACAAATCCAATGAACTACGAGTTGGCTTGAATCCCATTAAAGGATATGCAGGCAACTTTGAACTCATTTCAAGCCCAGTCACAAAATCAACCAAACACACTTTTTCCCCATTATGTTTCTTTGTAATTTTAATCCAAAGGTTTTTCTCATGTAATGAGTTGAACTTAAAAACTACAAAACCCCATTCTTTGAATATTAGCGAAATTGTATTGGCAAATTTTCATATCATTTACATTTTCTCTCAACAAAGGGTATGTCCTGATGTGAGAAGGTCCTCGTCTAATAAGTAGCAATTTCCTCAGCTACATTACCATAAACAATTTTTTAGGCTTTTTTTTTTTTTTTGTTTTTGCTAGAATATTGACTTTAAGGTCCCCATTAATATCAATTTCTGGTTACTTGGTATGAGATGACTTGCTAGATCAGCCTGGTCTTAGGAAAGATGAAGATGAAGATGAACACCGCCCCTTCTCCACCAAAGAAAACACACCATTTCTCTTTTCCGTGGAGATTACATATTTGTAATACAAGCAATATTGGAGGAGGAAATCGAACCTACGACGTAAATTCTCTTAACGAGCTACAATACCCTTGCAACAAAATAATAAAAATTTCTTTGCAAAAGACAAGGTGAAAAAGATTAAGATACATACTTGTATATGTCTTCCCAAACTCATTGCCTAAAATTTTAAATCATTTTGCAAATTCTAAAATTTTAAATTAACAACGTTTAACTTTACATCCAAAATCATAGGTTTGATTCTCCCTTTGTATATGAAAAGAAGAGAAAGAATAGGAAAAATAAAAATAAAAAAACTTTTTTCTAGTTTGAAGAATTCGTCCCGCCGTAAAATTTCGATTCTTACTCTCCTTATTCCCAAAGATTAACCCAAAAGAACAAAAGATTTCAAAACTTTTTTTCAGTCATGAAGAAGATCCGAGCTTTTAGAAATCATTTAACAAATATGGCCCAGAAACCCATTAGCTTACAAAAGCGGAACAGCAAACTCGTGCCTATCTCAATATCTACAAACTAAAGATAAGGAATCTGAAGGTTTATCCACAAACCCATTAGCTTACAATACCACTCCTGCCTGATGAAAATAATAATAATAATAATAAGAGAGGGAAAAGGATGATTATTTGGAGTGCTAAGTATTCATATCCCCCAAATTCTTATACACAAAAAATATATATATATAAAATCTCCCAAATGCAACTAGACCATTATGTTGTTTCTCAAGATGTGATTCTTTCTACCATATATAACCAGATGCAATGCCAGCATCACAATCTGTAAGCAACTACGCGCAATCACACACGATTCATACACATGTTGATTCTCAACACGCAACAGAAAGATTCAAGTCCATTGTCTTTATCAATTTCTAAGTACGACATTATGTCTAATACCATCGAAAAGCTATACACTATAGTTGGCAAGTACTGCAGTAATGCAGCACCAGCAAAGATCAACCATTTGTGCTCAATCTAACCCCATTCACATACTAGATTGTGAGCAGCAAGTTTGAAAAATTAAGGTTTCAAGGAACCAATTATGTATCTGAAACAAACAGGAGGAATGTACAAATTATACCTTTGGTCTCAAGTGGAAGTGACTTCTCTACACAAATCGGATCGATACTACTCTGGGAAAATTTCAGCAAACACTGGTAATATCCTTCTTGTAGTGGGGCCATAAAGAACATCAGTGATGTAGGAACTTATATCTTCCCTTGATGGAGGTGTTCCAGTTGAAGAATACGGCAACACAACCTCAATGCCATCATCTTGAGGTGACCAGTCCAGGAAGCTGATGGTGGTAGTGGGAGTCTTCATGGTGGCTTTGGGTGCAGTTGATGAAGCTGCTTGTGTTGTGGCTGATGCTGCTTCTGTAACAGAAATGGCCATGACCGGATGGACAAAATGAGACTTTGGGCTGGGTGTGCATAATCCTGTGCCAGTGTATGACTTGCACATCAGTGCCTGCACAAATCAAAACAGAAGAAAAGATGGCATTTTCAGTACGTTGACTATGTTAATAGTAAACAGCTAAAACACACTGTGTGACTGTTAACCTCAGACTTGTTCTTGACAGGGAAACGAGTTGGGCGTGGCTTTTCTTTTCCTGGTGCAATCTGAAAAGAAAAAATGAAAGACACAGAAATTTGTCAGGACAAAACTGCAGCAAATCATAATTTGGTCAAGTACTCGTCATCAGGAAACAATTTGCTTTCAATGAATAAATTACATATTCATTTCAACCAACACTACTGCACAACTCATCTTGAAACATGATTGAGATATGACAAACATACAGGCAGAAGATCCAATCCATTAAAACATACTCATGCACAAATCCACCAAAGGCACCAAACACAAACCTAAATTCTAACACTAACTCAAGCTACAAAACCCAACTTGTTGAGCACCAGTCAACAAGTTTTATAGGAAAATTGAAATCAAGTAGAAATTACTTCAGTAGCAACACCTTTCAATTTTTCGGCCAAAGATGACAGCTTCCTTTCAATATAAAAAGCCCAATGAATTTGTCCCAATCTTAAAAGGTGGTAAACCATTTTCTACAGAAAGCAAGATAACTTTACAAAATGATTATAGTTGTATTGCAACATCCATATAAGCCCAAGGAAACCAGTTGAACACTAGAATAGGCTATCACTGAATTGATTAGGCAGGCAGCAACAAGAAGGCAAAATTTATATTACTGTCTCATTCAGTTACAACATTTTGCTTAAAAGGGAAAGAAAAAAAGTCAACGGAATTTTAGTTTCTAAATGCACCTCCAAATAATCTAGGTTCAACAAGAAACCAGCTAAGTTTGACAAGTACAAGTCTCTTACTTGAACCTTTATCTTTATTCAAAGCAATCTCAACTTTAACCATCCAATTTGGAAGGTAAAATAAGTTCTTTCTCGTACATTCCTTTCAATGTCAAAACAAACTCTTAATGGATGGACTAGCATTTTGACTAACTATAGAATTATCTGAAATCTCAATCAATAGTAAATGTTGCAAGTATTATTTGCTTGTATGTTTATGATCTTTGGAAGAAGCGAGCAAGTAGCAACAATTTCTTCTTTTGTGCTACTGTATAATCAAGAAAAATATCCTGTTCTCTAAAAATTGGAGTTTTCTGGCAGTTGATAAGTAAAATCATTGAGAACACTAGCAAAATCAATACACAAAACAACGATGCGTGACATAGATACACTGCTGGCATACAAGACTTTTCAAATCTCAGACTCAACTGAAATTCAAATGCAAGAGTAGTAAACTGACATACGTAGAGTTTGGATCTTGCAGATCAGAAAACGCTCACACCAAGTGTACCTAATCTTTTAGATTCCAAAAACAGATTTATTTTTCTCCAAACAGAAGGATCTTAAAACAAAGGAAAGAAGAAAATGGTTCACACCAATCTTTTAAAGAAACAATGACATTCACAAATATTATGGTTCCAAAACAATACCAGCCATTAAATTAACACATAAATATTAAGAAAATACGAAGAACAGAGATGGAGAGAGAAAGAGAGATCTTAAACATTACTACAGCTAAGTTTCAAGTGTGCAACTATATCTTACTTGAACCTTTGTCTTTATTCACCAATCTAAAAGTTCCATCCAATTCGGAACCATCCACTTCTTCAAATATTAATGAATGAGCATACAACCTAAGTTCTTTCTCGTATGTCATTTCAAAGTCAAAACAAGCTCTTAACGGAACATCATTTTGAGTGACCATAGGCTTATCTGAAATCTCAAGGAATTTTTAATGTTGCAAGTGTTGTTTACTTGTATGTTCTGCTCGTGTGGTAGCCACAATATTTTCTGCTTTGTACTACTCTATAGTCGAACAAACATCCTGTTTTGTAAATTTTAGACTTTCCCTAGAAGTTTGTAAGAACAAGCAAAAAAAGGCGGACTAAAGAATTTAAGAACACTAGCAAAACCAATACACAAAAATAAAAGGTGTGACAGAAACACTGTTGACATAAAAAGATTCTTGAATTTTAGGCTAAAAAGAAGTTCATGTGCAAGAATACTAAACTGGCATACAAAAAGTTTGCATCTTGCAGATCAGAAATGGCTCGCACCAAGTCTACCTAGTCTTTTAGATTCCAAAAACGGATTGTTTTCTCCTAACAGAAAGATCTTAAAACAAAAACAATAAACGAGCAAAAGTTTCACATTTTAAAGAAACAATGAAATTAAAAATGATTATAGTGGCCAATAAAATACTTCAGCCATTATAAAGAGAGACCTGGCCTTTGGAGGTGTAGCGGCAGCTTCCAGAATCCTCCCAGGACCTGCAAAGGTCGGTCTTGTACAGAATCTTCCCCGAAGAATCCGAAGAAGAAGAAGATGACAACAGATCAGAAGCAGACCTTGCGCTCCTTCCTCCTCCGGTGACCAAAACACCGTCCATGACCAGAACCTCCTCCCTCTGCACCCCTCTCACCGGCGTTCTATAAACTATCGAAGGCGGCGACCTCTCCATCAGATTCTCCACAGGCGAGAGCGGCGAGAGGTGGCGACGACGCTGCTTCAAGGCGTCCATCGGCGACTGACACTGAGATTGAGCGCACAAGTACCTGAACAATGGTGAGTTGAGGTCCACATTCTCCAAGTTTCCTTTGAGCAGTTTCGCCATTTTCGAGTTGCTGTGAAAACCTTCCATCAATTTGCTATGCTCTGCTCTGCGCACAAACAATCAGATTACATTTCCGACGAAAACAAAGCTTCCGAGAAAATGCAGATGATAAAAATCGTTAACCGTTTCAGAATCGTACCAAATGCAATCACAGAATTAGGTTTTGGATGAAAATCGCAGAGGAAGAAGCGTCAATCTAAGGTCTGAGATGAGAAATGGCAATGGCGAAGAAGAGGCTTAACACTAGTGCTCCGATTCCGAGGGTTTGCGCTTGAAATGCATCACCGCCATTCTCAATTTCTCATCTTCTCGTTCTCAGAGAAGCTCACGTGCTCTGCAAGTATCTGTTGTACTAAAATTCTGATCGGTTTCTTAATACATAAGCGTGACTCTATCTTCCCCGCCTCTTATTTTTAGTAAGCTTGTTGAAATTTCCACATTGCTAATTTTTTTTTCTTCTTTTGTTTTTTATTTAAAAAAAACAATAATAATTTATTCTTTTAGGGTCAACTTAGTCCTACGTGTCAAACTTTTTAGAAAGGAACAATCTGGTTTCTAGTAGTTGTACTCTCTTTTTTCCCCCTAATGAGTTTATTGTAGTTAGATTTAATTACAATCAATGATAAATTTCATAATTTATTATTGGATGAAAATATCACACAATTCAAACGTGTGATGTAAAGATAGGAACTTAATTGAAATGAAAATCAAACTATAGAAACATATTTGACATTAAGATCAAGGAAATCAAAAGCAATCATTCGAATGACAAATTGACGTTGAAAGATGGTGCACATTGGTTCAAAAATTCATCGTGAATTATTAAAGGGTAGTTGAAAAGAGCCTTGACTTGTAGACCAATGGTATTAGATTCGAAATCCTATATGGCACCTTGATAGTGTGTTTATGAGAAATCCTCTTCCCCTTGTAGTTTAGACTATCGCTTGTATTATATATGAGAAATCCATATATAAGGTTTTTGTTTAGTTTGTGGATTAGAGGTATGAGATTTCATTAGTATATAAGCATATTTTTGGAAATGTGATACTTGTTTCATGAGTGTCTTATGCTCATGAATGGTAACCTAAAGTTTGTACAAAACATGACCATTTAACACAATATATTAAATACATCATATTCTATATCAAGTTTAATTAAAATTGAGATTTCCTTCTAAGTTCATCTAGAAGTTGCACTTCAAGCTCACACACATGTAGAGACAAAATATCATTTTATGTCATTGACTGCCTCACCAATTATGAAGCTCATGTATCCTTACCCAAATTAAAAAAATAAAAATTAACTAGGCATGTTTGTATTAGCTAAAAAAAAAAAATTAAGTTGGACCTAGCATCATAAAAATTTGATTTTTGAACTCTTTTCTTTGCTTTTGATTTCTAATAAATTACAGGACTACATGACTTATTTATCACAAAATATTCTTTTAAAATCTCAATAGAATACACCCCTTTTTTTATTTTTCTTTTTAATATTCGAAAGGTTCAACAAAACAAACAAGGTTTAAATTTACAATCCTTTTTCCTTTATTTATATTAACATGGATTTGAATGAAATTAAAGGGTGAAGGGAAAAAAAAACGATAGAAGGCTAAAGTCATATCTAAACGTTTCAAAATTTAGAAAGAAAAAAAAAATCTATAATGGCTGTTTCTCTCACCGTTGTGCTATATTAAGAACATGAAATGTGATAGCCAAACTTCCAATAAAAAATAGACTTGCAACCTTACTTAATTCAATTACTCTGATGTCGTGTCAGAATTCGATGTACATGACTTGTTTGATACTAAGATTTACATGTAATGACCAGTATATTTGTATAATTCCACACTTTTTTTTTGTCACTTCAAATATTTACGTATAGAAAAATCGGCGACATTGTAATCTTAGTATTTTTGTATTCTTCAAATATTTACGGTGATGAAAGTTGATATGACGAGATATTTAAGTCTTCAATGGAGAGGAGTGAAATCCTCCTTTCTCCCAAAAAACACTCTTAGAGCCTTTTCCACTTTGAGGGGGGAGGAAGCCATTGTTCTTCCCCCCTCTCCTCTCTTCTCTTCCTCCTTTCACCTCTTTCCTCATTTTCAGAGACAAATGGTTTTTCCTATTTGTTTTAGTTTTGTTATGATTTTCATCCAACCATTATAAGTGGCTGCGGCTCAGCGTCAGATCTTCACCTACATTTCGGCGTCGGATCTCCACCACCATCTTTTTTGCAATTTCTTTATGTTTGGAATAAGTTGCAGAGACTCTTTGAGTTCTCTGTGTAGTTTTCACCTCTCCTTTTGCGAGAGTTTTTCATCTCTCATTTTTTAGAGCTTTTCATCTCTCCTTTGTGAGAGTTTTATTTGTATTGGTATGGCTTGATTTTTTCAAGCTTTATCTTTTTTTTATTATTCTAAGTTTGCAATCTTAGTTGAGATACCTATGTCTGAGTTTCTTCGATCATGTCTGATCGTTAGTGGAGATGCACCAGATTGCCTTAATTTTGATATTAGACCGCTCCATTATTGTAATGACCATTTTGTGGCTAGTGGCTTTTTGACTGACTGAATGAATAATAGAATGCAAATTCAAAAAAAAACAAAAAAAAAAAAAAAAAAAAAAAAAAAAAAAAAAAAAAGAGAGAGAGAGAGGCTATTGAGCTGCTGCTAGGGGGGTTATTTTTTATTGGGTGGGGGGAACTGAGGTTTAATTATCTCATTTATACCCATGAACTATTTTTGTATTTTGCTGGGTGCGGTGAGAGGAGTTAAGAAGTTATGGTGGCATAAGCTATAGCTCAAAAGCTTCTTTCAGCTTTTGTTGAATGATGATTGATGTTTTTTATTTATTGTTGTCTGTTGTTGTTGGTTAATTTCCCTTTTAAAAAAAATAACTTTTTAAACATGTAGTATGAGATAGACAAATGACATGACATATTATATCAATGTGTCATATATGTTTGTGTTAGTAAGTTGATAAACAAGGTGATGTCCGTAACGTTATGATTGACGAAAAGTATCGATTACATATTTCATTATTATGATTAACAATAACTACCAATTACATACTTCATCAAATAAATAAAGGAAATACCATCCTCGTATTACTAAAATTGGAAAAGGGTACAAATATATAACTGGTCAGATGTAATTCCCGATATCATGCGTGAGAATTTATTGAGTGCTTAAACAGGTTCTCCTTTTTATTTATTATCAATGCCTTATATCCTTGATCTTTCCTTTTTATTCTTCGTTGTAAATTGTGATTGAGGCAAGTGTTTTTTTTTATTTTTAAAGAAAGGACGAGTAACGGGCTATCGTCGGATTAGACGAATGTCTCTACACTAGTGGACTGTAACTCTATTTTTATTTTTTAGCTCCAGATAGAAGGAAAGACAGGAAATAAATAATATAATATAATCCTCCCGCGAAAAGTAATATAAAAAAGGAAAGACAATCGGAATTAGATTTTGAGAGAGGCTTATTATTGGGAAGGGTGAGGAATGTCAAATCAGTCGGCCTCAATTTACTCGTTTAGAACAGACGGAGGGGCATTATCGGGATTCTGGGCAGTTTCGTGCAGAGCAAGAGTGCAATTGTCAGGGACAAAAGGGTAATTTAATCTGCTGGTTGAGTTGTTGTAGAGTTCAACCAGCCTACAAATTCTAACTCAACAGCAGCTTTAGCAGTAGAAGTAGAAGTAGAAGTTAGAAAACGAAAAAACAAAAAGAGAAAATATTTTCCTGTTTGATTTTGGGTTTTGATCATCAAAGTTAACATAATTCTCTCTTGTCTTGAAGAACATTGATTGCATGGTGCAATTGGTTTTGGTAAACTCACTTTCTTTTTTTGGTTTTTGCATGCTTTAATTCTTCGGTTTCAAACACAAGATTGAAAGTAAAATAAATATTGGGAATGTTTTTTTTGGTAGGTTTTAATGATGTGTGTGTGTGTATATATATATATATATACATTTAAAGCAGTAACTTGGGTTTTTTTGGTTCTTTATTTTGTGGGTGGTTTTGTTTCTCAGTTGAGATAGAAGAATAAGGAGGAGAAGGATGAAAACATGGAAGCGGCAGAGGAAGGAAGAGAAGAAGATGGTGTCAAACGAGGAGAGAGAGGCAGAGGATTGGTGCTTCATCTGCAAAGATGGTGGAGACCTCATGTTATGTGACTACAAGTGAGTTTTTACTTTCTTTCTTTTTTTACTCTGTTTACAGTTTTACCGAATCATCTGCAAAAATGTATGTCTTGCTTGTTTGCATGTTGCAATCTATGCATTCGCTTTCAAGATTGAGAGAGGTTCTAAAGCCACCGGCCGGCCTAAGAAGCCTCTTTTAATGACCCGCCAAGCTTCGGCTATCGCCGGGCCCAGGCCGCCCATCCATTTGAAAGGCTTAACCATGGGCTTTCTTTGCTCTGCCTGGTCCACCGGCTGACTGGCATGGCCCAACTAGGCAGGCCTCAAGGAAACTAGAAAAATTTGACATGTTTTTATCATTCATTTTTAGTATTATGAACCTATCAAAACTAACAAAAATAGGGTTGTGGTTTTATGTTTTGCGGTGGCCCGTGAATCATGAGTGGCCCAGGCCCGCATGGGGCCGGCCCGACACTTTGACACAAACTCCTCAAATTGGGGTCCCACCAATGCAGGTCTGATGCAAAATGCACTAGTGCATATTTAACCAGGAAAAGGAGCGAAAAATTATTTGAGTTTATGTTTCATAGAGGTGGCTTATTATCAAAGCTAGCCTAGAGGCAAAGTAATTATATGCAAAGGAGTGCATTATGGTACATTGTAGGGGCCCTAGGGGGTGGCCCAACAAGAATTGGGGTTTTAGACAAACCTATAAATGTACCATTTTAATATTAAATATATACAATGTGAACTAACTTTCAAGCCAAGGATTCAGATTATGTCATATGAGTGTGTTGTGCTTTCTTTGGAATTGTTCTCTTTCCAAAGCTCAAAATATTATAAATAGAGACATGCAAAATAGTGTGAGGAAAATAAGGATGTCTGGAAATGTTTTCTTGCCATATAGGTGATATCGAGTCTGCATACGGGGTTTGGTTGACAGTTTGGCAACATAACATGCTAGATATTTGGCAAATGAACATTACATAGAGATAAAGATACTCTCTTGCTAGAACATGTTAATGTTGTCAGATTGTGAATTAGAAAACCACATATTCAGACCTAATCATCCTCATTCATTATTTGACATCATGTCTGATAATCGAGAAATAAGAGAGCATTATTCTCTGTGTCTGGCTGTAATTTCGGATACCAGAAGAGAGCATTGCATCTTCTGTTGATCCTCAACCTGTACTTTCTCGTCGCTTCTAGCATTTACACATGTGCCTCAAATTATTCCTGTGCCTAGACTTAGGAAATTTTTATACTTCTATATTTTAACACAATTACTCATTTTAGGGACTGTGTAAAAGTTTATCATCCTGGATGTGTTGGCAAAAAGAAATCCTTCATTGATACTGGAAAGCGCTGGACTTGTAGTAAGAAACTTCACTTTTATCAATGACGATTCGTTTGTGCTTTTATTGAAATCATTGTACATAGCATATTACAGAATTGATAATGTGCATGCATGGTATATATGAACTTTATATGCCTCACAATTTCCTGAATCATGCATACCTTCCCCAGAATTGTATTTATTCTTTTACCTCTTGTTGTCCTATCGGTAAGTTATATGTGATCGGGGATCTTTCAATTGGATATCTCATCATGATTGCCAGACATATATCCACTAATCACTTCAAAGTCCAAATATTTCTCAATAATCTGAATTGGCTTTGGACTCCGTACCAAACTTAAGGTCAATAAGCACTAAAAAAAACTCTTGGCCAGAGTTCCTAACACTTGGAAAGGTATACAATTAGAGGTGTTAAATAAATTCCGTTTATTATGTTTGCAGATTTTCTTTCACATGATTAAGTTTTGCTACTAAATAGATTTTATCTTCATATTTGCACTACAATGGATTTATTATGTCTAGCAGTTTAAAAGATGATGCAATTTTATGTTTCAGGGAAGCATTCTTGTTCACTGTGCCTTGATATCCCAAGGTTTTGCTGCTATTGTTGTCCGAATTCAGTATGTCAACATTGCATAAGCGGTTCCGAGTTTACAGTGGTTAGAGGGAAGAAAGGCTTTTGCAAGTACTGTTTGAAGCTTGTGTTACTCGCAGAAGAAAACTCAGAATACGGTTTAGATGGGGTATGTTAAGCAATATTACTGTGTTAAACTAGTTTTGAGAAATCTCTTTTACTGGTTTTACTATTGAGATGGATGCTTTCTTGATCATTATTTTTCCTTTTTGCTTTTAATTACTTTCTTTCTAGGAATTTTTAGTGTGTATGTAGGCCTAGAATGTTACAGCTTGGTTATGTTATATTTGGACTTACGTAGACAAAATATGTATGATTTTTGCCAACTAATTAATGCCAAAATAAAAGGGGAATAAACAGAGTAGGAGTTGATTATATCTTAGCTGTTATTATCTGAAGTTTATAAGGATGCACAATCTATGAATGGTAATTAATAAAATAAGAAAAAAAGGAAAGAGAAACCAGTGTAAATCTAATCGCCTTTTGGTGTGTAGCTATTAAAAATCATTTATGCCTTCCGGAAAATCGTTACTCTAATCAGAATGAGAGTAATACGGCATGTACTACATGTGGAATGAAGTCAGATATTACATGTGATGTGCACGCCTGAACATTCACATGAAACGGCACACCAAGAACCTGTATCATTTTCTTCTTCAATTTGAAAGGGCTATACGTTTGCTCTCATTTGAAGTGTTTGGGGAGCAGGAGAGTGAGAGCAGGGGTTTTGGCTTGTCGGCAACCAATAGCGTCGCCTCTTTTTAACCAAGGGTATTAATTTTCATTCGACCTGAAACTTTTATTTCACTTCATGAGAAATTTTCTTACAATATTAAAATCTATTTGGTTGTTCTGTCTTTAATGTAAATAGTTTATCCATATGGTTCGTTTGCACTCGATATACGTTGTGAACAAAACTGATGACAAGACTTTAGCTCAAAGCAACAGAAAACATAAAATTCATCTCTTTACTTTCAGTTTCAGTCTCTTCATTGGATTTGTTCATCATTGTTGAGGTAGCATCTAGTTAATTATTTATGTTTCTCTTACAGTTGTATGGTTGTTGAATTTCAGGAAAAAATAGACTTTAAGGATCGGGATACTTTTGAATGCCTATTCAAAGAATATTGGGAAATCATAAAAGGAAAGGAAGGTTTGAGTTTGGATGATGTCTATTCTGCAGATGTTGATTCAATAAAAATTGGTGAGAGTGAAGAAGATATTGACCTGAGAACACCTAATAGTGACACTGATAGTACAGAACTTCAGAGGTCGATGGGAAAAAGGAAGGCGCCAAAGGAACAAGAATATCTCGGATGGGGATCGAAACCTCTCATTGATTTCCTCAGATCCATTGGTAAAGATACAACTAAACAGTTATCACAGTATGATTTGGACTCTATCATCTTTGCTTACATCAGAGATAGAAACCTATTTCACCCTGAAAAGAAGAGAAAGGTTCTATGTGATGATAAGCTGTATTCTATTTTCAGAAAGAAGTCACTAGATAGGATGAAAATATATGGTCTTTTGGGGGCACATATTAGTGAGAACTTGGTATTATTGGATGAGAATACAAGTGAGGATGAAAATGAAAATAAATTGGAAGACAAGAAGAAAGATACAGTGATAGTAGGGAAGAAGGGAACAGTAAGCTCAGATATAACATCTCTTGAAAATGAAGTGAGTCCTAGCGTCCGACAAAGTTGTTTTGCATCTTTAGTGACTGATAATATCAAGCTTGTCTACTTAAGAAGGAGCTTACTGGAGGAGTTGCTGAAGCAGCCTGAAAATTCTGAAAGCAAGATTCAAGGAAGTTTTGTGAGAGTGAAAAATGACCCCAGAGACTATCTTCAGAGAAATTCTCACCAACTTCTACAAGTTGAAGGTAAATTGTTTGTAGTCAATATTATGTGATAGCATGCATTGTGTTAATAATCTCAGATTGGAAAACTGTTAGCCTTCGAGTCTGATTTGTTTGAAGTCTTGATAAATATAACTTCTTTGACATATCTATGAATGGACATGACCCTATACTGGGAATATAACATAAAAGATAGATATTCGAAAGTAGTCGTGATGCTATCTTGACAGAAAAGCTCTTGTTTCCTCCACAGGTTTTTAAGGTTTCCTGAGATTCCTTTCAATTATATAAGTTTTTTGCTTTTATATCCTTGCAGGCATAAGGAAAATCTCAAGTATTAATGAAATGAACGGTGAAATTCTCCTGCAAGTTTCCAATATTCCAAGAGATATTCCCATTTTTATGCTGTCAGATGTTGACTTCACTGAGGTAACTGACCTGCTCATGAAATCTTTCCATATTTATGACGCGGAGAAAATCTTAAGAGGTATTTGAATTTTAAAGCTGACATTATTAATATAGGGTACGCGATAATGTCAATAGAAGGATACAGATAAAATATGATGTGCTCCCCATTCCTATGAGTTGAACTCACAACCTATAAAATATGATTGTGCTATTCTGACATTATTAAGCTATAAATAACTTGTCATTTGCATTTCCGGAAATATACAAATTGGTTTGTTTCTTTTATAATAAGAATTTTAATTAGGACTTTCCCTCTATAAGAGTATTATGGAATTCCACTGTGCTTCTTGCAGGATGAATGTGAGGATTTGCGACAAAATGTGACAAATGGCATGCTGAGGAAACCTACAGTTGTAAGTATAAGATTCCCCTCTTAGAGATCATATTGATCTTTCTTACGAATAATAATAGTGAATAACCTTTATTCTTTTTCTATTTAATTCTCTTTCATCTGGTTTCTGGAAAAAGATTTGTGTGGCTCACCATGAAGATCCGTATTGATATGTTCAAATTTTAGAAACTCAAACTCTTGTGTTGAACGATGGGTCAGCTTTATACTTTGTGTTGAATCAGCCTCTCTAGACTAACAATGCATACAGACATTCATGCGTATACATGTAAACAGGGAGTCCCATATTTCTTAAATACAACACGGGTTGAGAAAACCTCTCACTTCTACTCAATTTTCTTTATCCATTTATTGACATGGTTGATCTTTTGGGGTATAGAATGGTCCTTTAGAGCCCAGAATTTGACACTTAAAACCTAAAACCGAAGTGATTTACCAATCCGAGGCTAGAAACCTCAAGTCTAAGCTCTAAATGGTGATTCTACACCCTAAAACTATCCACCATGTCAATAAATGGGATCAAAGTTGAAGAAAATTTAGTTGAAATGAGGTTTTCTCAACGTGTCACGTCTTTACGAATTATGGGACATCCTCTATAGCAAATAATTGTATGTGTATATATAATGTATAATTTTTCCAAACCTTAACCAAGGTGTGTTGTTGGACAGGTTGAGCTTCAACAGAAGGCAAGAGATCTCCATGAGGACATAACTAAGCATGTAGGTATTTCTAATTTATGGTATTAACTTCTAAAATCTGTTGCCGATTTCCCCCATGTGGCCATTCCTCTCACCCTCAAAAAAATTTCCAGGCGTTTATCACATAGAATTTCTCTGAATATACTAGTACAATTACAAAGAGGAATGTTGCTAGCTCTTCATTTTTCTGATCCTTTCTGAATCTTGTGGAAATATTGTTGTCAGCGGATTGAGCGAGAGTTGGTCAGGTTACAGAAGTACATTGATCGGGCAAATGAGAAAGGATGGAGAAGAGAATATCCTTTCATAGTTTCTATTTCTCTTTAGTGGTAAAAATAAAATTCGCTTAACTTTAAGTGCTTTAATCTGAGTTTTTTTTATTGAAGGCTATTCAACTAGATGGAAGTCCTTCTGCTCACGATCTTTTATCTTGAGGAAAATTACACACATACACAAACATGTGTGTGGGCGTCTCTATGCACGCATACACAACACATGCACAAATGCTTGAGCATATGTTTACCTTCATTTGTGTTTTGCTATTTTTGTCCCAAAAAATGATAGTGGACCTTAACCTGCTTTGTGTTCAACGTTATGCGAATATTTGGACCAAAGAGAGCTGCTAAATCAACCGTCTGAACAGGCTCGACTATTAAAACAGGTGCCAAAGGTCATTGCAGAGGTTTTAGAGGATGAATCTGGTTCCGTAGACTCCATAGAAGTTGATAAGCAAGGAAATCTGGAATAGCAGAAATCTAAGATTCATTTGACATATGGTGTATTTTGTTTCCTTATAAAATCTAGTGTTGTATGAACAAAGGACAGAGCCTTTCTAGTCTGTATGTAGTTTGACTTCGCAGTGGCCAACAAAATGGCCATCTGTACTGATGGTTACCATATTTTGCCTCTATTGTTAGCTCGTGTAGCCCCGTTTCTCGTGTTTCAGTCACCTTTCAATGGCTACCTTAATTATGTGCGCTATCATTTCATCGCTTTGAGTTAAGCACACACTACCACTACGGTTGGATTTTCAAGCCATTGGAAAAAAGAGAGAACAGTTTTCCTGTTTGGGGAAATCGATTTCCATTTCATCACTGGAACGAGTTATAATTAAATAACAAATTCTGTAAAGTTCAACTGCAATACTAAAGTTTTAAACTACAGAAAATATGAATAATTGAATCAGAAACATGCTAAAAATTACTTTCTGCTACTGGTGATTTGTCAATGTGTGTCTGAGTATCCCCTCCTTTATCTACTGGAAGAAAAAGAGCTGTGTTTTAAACCCCTACAGATTTGAAACAACTCAGAACAAAAAGACAGATTTGATACAACTCAGAACAAAAAAAGACAGATTTGAAACAACATGCAAACTGATGTAAATGTTTCCACCATTTATGGCCATTAAACAGCATAATCCACAAATCAGAGTCAAAAATCCCCATGACTGGCATTACAGTAAAGTGCACAAACTATATACGAGTGTCGTTGAGCAGAAAATTATACACAACTCCCATCACCAAAAATATCCCAATTATACAATAATAATCTACAAATTTAAGGCACCAACTTATAACTCAGATGCCATCAATAGCATTTTTCAGGTCACCACCAAATAGTGACATGAGGGGTCCTCCATGGACCCTCCCTTCTGGAATTTTAAAGTCCAAGCTCTTTATTCCGTCACTACTATTGACACCAATGCCATACTCGTTTCTCCGTTCATCAGGCTTCTCAGAACTGAAGAAATTTGAATAGGATGAGGAGGACTTCATCGATAGTGGAACCAATACCTGCGAGGGTATGAGATGTCTTTTTCCTGGCTTTTCCAGTGATTCAACGCTGTCAGATATGACACTGATTCCTGAAGAAGAATGATTGTTATCAAAGCTGCTTCCTGCTGTTGAAGACGCAGATACAAGCCCATGGAAAAGTCCTGGTCCAATGAGACCTCCCTTATTTGTCTCCCGGTCCTGCACCATGCTGCTATGAGCAGCACATAAACCACTCTTTCCCCTGGCGAATTTTTCACATTTACCCTCTTCCCATGTACACCGCTTTCCCCCACCATGGGCCTTGCAGAAGTCTGTGCTCCCTTGGGCACTTTTTCCACAGTTGTCAAACTTACACCTCTTACCTCCACCATGCCTAACACAACAGTCAGTACGGCCACGGGCACTTTTTGTGCAGTCTGGCACAGAACACCTCTTTCCACCACCATGAGCAACACAGAAATTAGTGCCTCCATGCACACTCTTAGGGCAAATCCCACCACCATCGAAAAGGCAGCGCTTCCCCCCACCATGTCCCTTGCATAGTGGTGTACTTCCTTCAGCACCCTTGGTGCACCCTTGAAATATGCAACGCTTTCCACCACCATGTGCCTTGCAATACATAGTGCTCCCTTGCGCCCCCTTTGCACATCCCTGGTACTGGCAACGGCGACCACCGCCATGCGAGATGCATAAACCAGCCTGTCCTTCGGCACTACGAGTGCAGCCATCAACCTTACATCTTTTCCCTCCACCATGTCTAATGCAAAGCCCTGACCTTCCTCTAGCAGCCTTGGTACATCCACCTGGATAACCACATCGTTTGCCACCACCATGAGCTATGCAGTAATCTGTTTTCCCCTCAGCACTTTTGGTGCACCCCAAGTGTTGGCACCTCTTTCCTCCACCATGTGCCTTACAGTATGCTGTTCGGCTCTCAGCACCCTTGTTGCACCCAGGTTTCTGACACCTCTGTCCGCCCCCATGGCCAATACAAAGACCTGATGCCCCTCGTGCTCCCTTTCTACAGCCAAAAAATTTGCATTTCTTAGGATTGCTAGTTCGGTGGTCTGAAGTTGTCCCTGTGGTTGCCTGCTCAGAGATTGTTCCTGTTGAGTAATCTGCTGTAGCAAAAGGTTCATTTCTCAGCTGGGGTTTGGACCCGAGCTCTAAAAGTTCTTGAGTCAGCAGAGAAACCTTGGCACTTTCTCTTCTCGGAGCAAAAAGAAGTGATGGCATATAACCACCTGATTTCTTGGCTGAAGTAGAACCCTCATCAACAATTGGAATTGAGACTTCAGAAGATACTTGGTTCTGGATATAGGATACATTAATATCAGTCCCTCCTGAAATTGAATAATCAAGCATAGCTGAAGCTTCAAGATGCCCTCCAGAAAGACCAAGTTGGAGGATTGAATCACCCTCAGATGCAAATCCCTGAGATAATTCAGTGGGTAATCCTCTATTCTTTGTAGATCCGAAATTATAATAATCATCGCAGTAGGCACTTGGTGTTGGGCCCAATCCAAGTACCAATTTGCAGCAGTCCTCGGGTGCACTGGAAGAGTTAATGTTGAAAGTGCTTCGAGTACACCTATACCTGGTTGTGTTGCTTCCACCTGAGCCAGGGCTATTCAAGCATAGAGCTGTATCGCCAAAGCCAAAGTGGTCATTTTTCATGAATTCCCCATCATGGGAAAATAGTACACTCTTCTTGTTCAAATCCATTTTCTGGGAACTGGGTTTTAAGCTATCCGAATAACAGACTACTCTTTATCACATACAATTAGTAAGTGGACATATCAGAACTGAATGCACAAGTAGACGAAATCCTAATACGCAACCTCCACCGCTAACAAAGCCTGATGTGTCTGACCTGTCCATCACACCCCAATATCTTTCAACAAAATCACTCACTTCCTAAAGTATCTGATTACGTTTCGCGGATAGAACCCCCTTATAAGAATAGTTAATATCAATGTGCAGAGATCTTTGGAGCTTGTTGTGCTCCCTGCTGAAATATCATTTAGCTTCATTAACCCTGACAATAAGAGGAAAACAGAAAACACAATTTATAGAATGTACAAACGAAATTGATAGAAAGGATACCTGCTGAAAAGATTGAAAACAATATCGGGAAAATTAATTCCAGGAAATGAAAGAAACAAAGGAAACTATTATAGATAATGGCCAAAAAATTCAAGAGGTATAAACGCAGTTTTCAGAAAATTCAACATGATATGTTTCTGATAATATGTGACAGAATGATTAGTACAAGCAAGAGAGTCTGAATACAACACCAGAACATAGTCTTTATTTTATTATTATATTTTTTAGAACAAATGCGCAAAGTCTGACGAAGTAGTATCTAGTGATCCTAGTACCAGCCAAACGTTTGAAAATTTTGGAGACACTCTAGATTGGATCATGCATATATAGAAAGAATTTGAACAACGATAAAGTTTTCCATAAACCAAGTACAACAAATGTGGAAATATCGAATGCAAAATGCCAAAATGAAAATTAATTTTCCAAAAATTAAGAAACTAAATCCCCGATATAAACTCACAACTCATAACCATGAATCCATGATCCAAAGGTGCAGCAGCAACAGGAGACTGCACAACTCAATAACATAAATTTCACATTTATAATCCAATATTTATAAAGCGCAGATGAGTTAACTGTTGTTAAATTTTTCGCCATGTTGCGACAGAATTTTATAAGAACAAAGCACTTCCAAGTCCTGACTACTGTATCTGGTTCAGTTTGATTTGCCTAAGCAAAGACAGCAACCTTCAAAAAAGAAAAAGGGAAAAACAACTTAATATCATGTCTTAAACCAACATACAAAAGTTTAAACTAAACAAATAGCACATCAAAGGTTTTTCTACAATTCCTTGGTAACCACAGGATTATTTATACAAAATCTAGGGCATATTCTCATAACCAACACATTGTCACTCCAGAGAAAGAATCCCCATATTCAGTGGTTGATCAACTTCAATCATTATATACTTTCATTTTGATATAATTTTATTCAATTTACTTGTACTTCAATTCCTCCTTTGGAAGAACTAAAATTAACTTCAAATGAATTCTAACAACTTTTAACCAGTGTCGGTGTTAGATACAATATTTTCCAGTATTCAAGTTTTGTACTTCCATTCAAAATTTCTATCTAATCTCTCAATGTTGATATTTTAACATTTGCAGACCCTTGATATTTCTGTCAACATCAACATTTAATACTTCATTAGCATATTTCATGTCGATCACGAAGAACTGATAATCTACAACTGTCTTATACAAAGCGGGTAGCACAAAGTTAGGTCCACCTACTTGCAATTATCAATATGGCTCACTTGTTACGGGACTTTGGAATGCAATATAAATAGCTAGTGCCTTCGTGGATTAACTTGATCAAACAAATCTAAGCCAGACAAAAACGTCAAAATCTTCAACGTCTGTGATTTTTCCATTGAGCCTAACGTTTTCAACTAAATTTCGTCGTTTAGGTTTTTAAACAAAAATTAGATGTTCAATTTTGGAAAATTGTCATAATTCTGCATAGACATATGGTCTCAGCTTGTAACAAGAATTTTAGTCCTTCCGCTTATGAAACCTTCCATTCATCAATCTTAAACTTCATCAATGTCCACGATGCAACTTCAAAATCAAATTTTTTAGCCTCATCTAGATTTATTACTCTCATCAATCAATCATTAACAGACAAAAAACATAGTTACATAAATGCAAAAACCATATTGAAGCAGGCACTGAAGTTTAAGATCTACAACAAAACTACCATAACAAGTCCCATAAAGATTCGTTAAAACAAAGCAAATTAGTAAGGACCCAACCAGATCAGAGATATACCCGGATTACAACATCCAAATTGGTAATAATAAAAAACTAATTTAGTATAAAATAAAATAAACAAAGATTACCCAGTAAGTCAAATACAGCAATTAACTCATTAATCTTCAAAACTTAAAAATAAATAATATAGATGGTAACCGGACAAAAAAAAACCCTGCAAAACCAATTCCAGTAAAAACAAATAAAGGTTAAATTACAAACCACATGAAAATATAAAATAAAACCCATAAATATGACAATAAAAACAAACACAGGCACAAGCAGAGAGGGTACAAAAAAGATCAAGAAAATGAAGAAACAAATTAGCAGATGCAATACCCAGATGAAAATTCAGAGGAAATTTCGACAGAGGTGGCGCATCTGAGTAGCAGCTGCAGGAGACATATCTCTAAGGCTGAAAAATTCTTCAGAACACAAAAGGCACAGCACAGGAGAAGAACGAGACCCAATAAAGAAAGAGCAGAAGAGGGAAGAAGGAGGAGGAAAAAAATGAGAGAAGCAGAGTGGCAAAGTATTTAGTAATGTCCTCCTCCCATTATTTTTTTTATTTGGGCGGCTCTCTCCGGTCTCTGCCTTCTTTATTTTATTTTTAATTTTTACCTTGTGAAATACCAGAAATAGCCTTGACGTCACAACTGTCATCACCCCATGGGCGCACAAGGGGCCTCCTGATTTGGACAATGCATACTTTTCCTTGAAAGCGACGGCCTCTGCAAAGTCAACATTGCCCTCACCAGCTACCAAGTGGTATGTTACTGCGGACATGGGCGTGTGGCTATCTTCTCAGCCCAACACAAAAGTGATGGATGTGGCTGAGAGTTGTGTGCTATATATTTGGTGGTTGTCAAAAGTACATTTATGAATCTATACTTTAGTATCATACATCTTTTCTTTTTTTTTCTTTTCCCGAATGATACTTCTCTTTTTAATATTGATAGAGGTCTCAAATTCCGCGTCCTCCTCTTTCTCAAAAGGTGATTACTTTTTAGAAAATAAAAAAATTCTCTTGAGAGGAACATGGTCAATAACATGCATTTACCGCATACCAATTTTGCCTGTTATTCTTTACACTTAACCTTAAGACCCTTTGTACTTGAATAGACTATCTATTCAAATGTAAACATAAAATCGTTTTAGCCTTAATAGGATATATTAATTTTTAGGTGAAAGAATTAAGGGAACCTCTATTGAGTATCAGCATTCCCTGAACATTCCTTATGATTCACATTGAATAAGATTCATAAAACTAGACCTAGTATTTTTTGTGTCATTTTTTGCTTGAATTTTTTCTGTTAAGATTTGCTTGACTTTTACTCTACAGATGTCACCATGTAGATGGTGTAACGGAAATTTTTGGCAGCAAAGTTCAATGAAGTGACAAATATAAAATAAAAATCAAACAAATTCTAGAGAAAATTCAAGCGGAAAATCTTAATAGGTGTGTGAGTAGGAGAAGGTTAAAGAAGAGTGAAATTTTGCTCAAAAAGTGAGTAAGAGGAGAGGAGTAGGTACAAATTTGTCCCCTAAAAAAAGGAGTAGGTACCATACAAAGCATGAAAATTCAACACTAACTGGTCAAATGTGTGCAATTTTAATTTTGCCTAACATACTTGAAAGGGTAATTATGTCTTTTTGATTGAATAATTTTTTTATAAAAATTATTCATTTTTGTCTTTGTCTGGTATGAGTATTTATTTTGTCTTTTGCGTGAGCAATGAGTGGCAAAGCTGGTGGGTTGGGTGCCCTTATCAAAATAATTAAGAGTTCAGATTCTTGCGCACGCTGCTGCTGATCTGGCTAATGACGCAGCCTCACGTCGGCTTCGTCTACGCGCTCTTGGCTCCTCCTTGATTAATTTCCTTTGTGGCGGAGAGACATCAGACATGAGCTGCGGCTGAAGCCGAGAGCTTTGGGGTGGACCAGAAGTTGAACACAAGGCAGAAGGCAGAGGGGTCCAATTGTGTCCGGTCTCCATCCGTCCACGCTGTAATTGAATTTTGACAGATTGTCTCTAAATCTCATCGGAACTTAGCTTTTCCAGTTCGCTGCATACACCTCCTCCTCAACTGTAATTGGTCGAATCTACCAATACTCCAACTGTCGGTTCCCCATTGGCCAGCACTTCAATAATTGCTAAATTCCCTTGATTCCTATTTCCAAACTACGTCGTATAAACAACAATAATAATAATAAATAAAACATTAAACGTGGTGCTCCCATGACAAATGTGCCGCGTTTTTAGAGTGAGTGTGACATGTGCATCAGTAATAAAAATCTACGTGTTATAATATGAGTCAGTCACACAACGAATCTTTTATGATTTTTAAGATTAAAACAAAATAGGACATCTGTTGTATCATAAATGCTTCAGTAATATCATGTCACCTCATTTTTATATATAAAGCAAAAGACGAATAATGATAAAATATTTAAAATATAAAAAAATATCATTATTTAATTCAAAATTAAGAATTGAAATTATTATTTAAATAAGAATAATATGGTAAATTCATATTTTTTTCATATTAAACAAAATTAAAATTAAAAGAAAAATTAGATAATGGATCCTATTTTAATGAAACACAACTACCCATTATCTTTTTTAATTCTAAAATAAATTTAATTAATTAATTTTTTTTTTAAACCTCTTTCAGGTGCAGAAGCGCGTGCGGAGAGGCTAGTATGACTAGTATGATCATTAAAATTTTCATAAATTACTTTAAATTAATCTAATTTACTGAAGGAGAACTCGTACTTGGGTGCAAGGGAATGAGGTAACTGTAACGGTCAACTGACTTAATCCACACTTGCAATTTTTAAAGTTTTAAAAGAGAGTAAACAATAATAGGACCCAATATTTAAAAAATCATAAAATAACACTTAATACCAAGTTTTATGAGACACGAATTTTGACATTGCTTTTATTGCGTTCAAATTTAGGTAAGATTTGGCTACTCATATGGAAGAATTTTCTCTTTCAAATTTTATCATTTTATGTTCACATAATAATTTGACATAGGGGGAGAATACCTTTCAAGCTTGTATCTTTGTTTCACTTGTTTTCACGCTAATCTCACCCCATGTGAAGAGAAAGACTTCCATGAAACAGAAATATCACTATTTTGTTATCTCGTCCAATTACGTTATGATATGTGTGATATCACTTTCACGTGACAGAGCATTATTGGTGAAAATAGCACTACCATTGCAATTAAGTTTTTTCTCCCACGTGAGAAAGGTGCCCAAGTTTCTCTTGTCTTTGTCCTGGCCAAGAAAAAAGTCTACCAACGCAACACGAGACCTACTCACCCACCATCAAGGGACGATTTTGTTGATGTACATATTTGTAGACAGCAGTGGAGGAGTACGACAAAATATGTGAGACTTTGGAGAGAAAATAAATATACTTGGGGGGAAAACCAAAGCATTATTGATGACTACGTAAATGCACGCTTATCATTGGACACTTCTCCCTTTGTGGGCCATGTGTTACGTACACTTACCCACAACAAGGCTAACTTCGGAGCCCACTATGTTTTCGAATCTTTTTATTTTATGCCATTATTAAGCAATCACAAAACAATAAACAAATCCCTTTGCATGCTTTTGTTTTTGTTTTTGTTTTTTTTCCCTAACTTAGCTAATAAATTTGTTTCGTTTAATCAACTAGAGGCTGGTTTGAGACTGTTTTTACATGAAGTACTTCTACTCATGATCGCTTTTGTTATAAGCGGTTTTAATAAGCACTTATTAGATGCTTTTCTAAAAACCCTTTTTTTGACCCATAAATACTTTTGAGATGTTATGCCAAACATTGTTATAAGCGCTTATGGTTATCAAAAAGTGAGTGTTTTTGGCCATTCCAAGCACTAAGCTCATTAAATTTTTTTACATGTAATGATTTACACTAGTCTAATTAGTATATAATGTATTTATCTTTCAACCAAATTCATCCAGCGTACTTAAAATAATACTATTAAAAATCCAAGATAAAAGCTTTTTGATTTCTCGAGAATTCATAGAAGACCAATTAAGAAGTGAAAAAAACTCAAACGAATATATATTTTCTTGTTATTCAAACATATTCCTTGTGTTGAATCAAGTATTTTTATTTGACAATAACTCTGATATATGTTCATTACTTGTTTTTGTATGTTGTATTTTATTTTGCAACGGTGTTAGTAATATTTTTCAAGTTTGAATTCTCTTCTCTCAGATAATTAAAAACAATTATCAAGTAAATTTGTGGACGAATATTCGAGATATGCGGTCAAGTGGCGGATAGGAAACAAATGAGAAGGAAAAACAAAGAAAAAAATGAGAAGGAAAAACAGAAAAGAAAACAGTAGATGAGCCCTTCGTTGTGCAGAAGGGGCGTGGTAGAAATTGGAAGTCTAATAAATTTGTTTTTAAAAAAAATGAAAAGAAGACATGACGGGAGTTGGTTGCATATGAAGGGAGGAGACCAGAGTCTTCTGTTGGAGATAGCACCATTTTTTAATGATTTGGTATGGATTTGCAACGTCTTAGGGCTCTAAAGTATTTACATGTGGGAGATTGAAAATTAATTGTGAGGAAATGTACTACAACTGTTTCGTAGCCTTTAAAACAGATTCGCGGCCTGGACAACTTAAGGGGAGACGAATGAAACCCCAACCAAGAAACCAAACTGAAAGAAGACAAGGAACCAAATTAAGGAAAAATTGTAACATAATTGAGTCTTGGAATGACATTGGCGTAAAATGAAAGTATAAAGAGTCATAAAACCAAAATGAATATTCGGAGAGCAAATTTAATTAAAGTGCAAAGTTCATGAGCATTGCTAAATTCTTCCCAAATAGAACGAAGGTAAAAGAAAAAGTCAATACATACTCTACCCAACCAACAAGCAGAGTTTCATCTTCTTCATCTTCCCGACTATAATATATTATTAATCTCAGAACTTTCATACAAATGTTTTTATTTTTTTATGCTATTGATGATTGCATTTTTATCATATTATACACATAAATGTTTGAAAACTTAGGTCACTTTACATTTTTTTTAGTACAAGCGATGAGAAAGGAGGGTTTACACATTAGGTATCTAGGAGTTTCAAACCTCTGTTCACATGGTTCCTAGGCGTCACATTACATTTGTTGGTGGAAGGTCTTGGCTATTTATATTATTTCTTACTAGCCTCTTGGCACATGCTCAAGCATTTGCCAATTTGTTTTATTTTTTATTTTTATTTTATTTTTAGAATTAAGAAAAAATAACATGGGTAGTTATGTTCCATAAAAATAGGACATATTATCTGATTTTGTTTTTAATTTTAATTTTTTTAAATATGAAAAAGTGTTAATTTGCCATATTATCCTCATTTAATTAATAATTTCAATTCTTAATGTTTGCATTAACCAATGACATTTTTTTTGGTATTTTGAATATTTCACCATTCTCTGCCTTTTACTTTATATATATAGATAGATTAACATTGCTGCTCCAACCATCGGTTGACACACGTCGTTTGTTAATTGGTCATGTGTCAACTCGTGTTATGAGAAGATCGTTTATCTAAATGAACGACCCGTATTTATTGGATCACTAATTCTTATTAGCAGCAAGAGTGATATGCCATGATTCTTGCTTTTCGTCATGAGCATTTGAGGCGAGGATAACCTTGTCAGGCTTATAATCTCTTCTCTACTTCAGGGTTTTGCAAGGCGTGTAGGCCCACAAAAAGATCCACTTAAAATAATAATTGCTTCAACAGACTAATAATTAACTAAATCAAAATACCCACAAAAAATTTACATTACAAACCACTTCACTCGGGAAGAACTCAAACGCAACATTTAATCCATATTTACAATGCTCCCATCCAATGTACTTGGCACCAGGACTTATCCTGGAACAGTCTTCCAATCCTGTGTAAACACCAAACGAAATGAGAACATGAAGGCAGCTTTTAGTTTGTTTGAAATGAAAATAAACGATGATGCTGGGATTGAGGAGAGAATCGATAAACACTAGTCTTACAAATTTTGGATCCACTGTTCCTGTTTATACAGGAGCCCTTGATTGTAGCTTTACCTGATTTGCTCATACTGCCAATTTTGGATCCACAGTTCCTGCTGCATTGCCTTCTCCTGTAAGAATTTGGTCTGGATCCTGGAAAATAAATTCACTCACTGGTTAAATTGAAAAGCACGATGGGGGTAAAACTAGGCAAGTATGATAATTACCTCCATTCCCCACTTGATGTAATCTGGGGACTCACAGGCCTTATATTCCTCAACCAAACTCTGAAGTATCTCTCTTGATTCGTCAAATTCCGAAAGGTCATTCTCCTGTCCACGTTTTATGTCATACTTGTGTGAGACACAAAAATTACAGACATCCCATAATGTTTGAACACTCGAAAAGGTTTCTCATCTATCACCAATGATGCTAACTGAGTAAAAAGAAAAGGAAAAAAAAGGGGAAAAAGTCATGCTTCTGCGCTCGCTAATTAGTTAATTACATGGAATATGCATATGACATATATATTTACAGAAGCATATCAATTAGCACTCATTAGGTAAAAAACTTCTTGCTCAGCATTTTAATTGTTAAACACTCGTTTTTTATTTTAAAAAACAAAACAAAAAATCCAAGAACGCTTAGTGGTAGCATCAAGAAATTGACAAAACACGTATGAAGTACTAACAGTTGTAGGAATGGTAACTTACTGCAAACATTGGGAACTTCCGATAGTTGTCAAGAAAGGCTTGCTTCTTTCTTAGCATCAAATACTGGCTCAAACACTTACTGAAAAGGTGGCGAATACTAGTATGGCTTGCCAGCATAAGACCACTGACCTAAAAAGACGCAACATACACAGAATCTTTATTATAAAATAGGGCGTTATTTTAAATAAAAACATCAATCCGAAATTTTGCTCAAATTAACTTTGAAGTACAAGTATAACAACGAAAGAGAGTTTCTACACTTGATTATTGCAAAAATCGGACAAAAAAGAGAATTTCATATAAGAATTAGATCCCTACCCTATGGGCCGTTTGCACATATGGAGACTTTCTAGACAAAGCAACCTACGCAGAAAAGCAGAAAGTAAAATATCAAATATCCAGATAGTGTAGAAGAAAAATTAGATTTATCTCAAATTTAATTTCTTTCACTGTGTTAAAACACCTGAATGCTTGCAGGGCCCCATTCAATAAAGTTAACAAGCTTTCTTTCACGTATCCTCTGCAAACTTTCATGAACCTGATTACATAGAAAAAGACACAAAAAACCACTGTAAAAACAAGAGAAAATAGCTGAAGAGGAACTGAGGTGTTAACATTCTACAACAACCAAGAAATTCTGGGTCACATTTCCCAAAAAATTCAAGGCATTACTAATATAATAAGAGAATCTGGCCAACATTTAGCAGCTATATATGATAATGGACAAATTTTCATTTCAAGTTTCTAAGGGTAAAATATGATCATGAAATGAATAAAGAAAATCTTCATCAATATAGATTTTGCTGGTTCACAAAAACCATAGGATTACAATGCAAGTTACAATATATTATTGTTAGAACCTGAGTAGGGTCAACTTCTCCTTGAATGATGTTTAATATTGATATGTACTTCGCTTGACTAGCTTCTTTTGTTCGAGCATATGAGGAAACCATTATATTTTTTGTCTGCAAAATGAGAATAATGTCAGGGAATCATTTAATTCTGCTTTGTGGAATATAAAAAGAGGTTATCAAAGCTTCTTACCTGCAGAAGTCTTCTCATAACATCAAGTACAGTGGTTTTGCGAATTACATTAGCCTGCCAAGAGGAGATATACATGCATCAAAAAGCTAAAATTATAGTTCATAAGCATAAAACGAGCATTTAATGTTTGCAACAATAAGAGAGGCCAAATCAATTCCCCTCTATTTGGACACTTGCTCAAGCATGTGCCTTCACACACACAAGTACATGGATGTAACCATAAACACACAAATAGACATATATAAGGGTATAAACTGACATGCACAAGTGAATCATACCTGGCGCTCAACTGTGAGAGGTGTATACCCTGTCATTAGAAAATGGCATCTTGGTGTTGGAATTAAAGATGCAAGAAGACCAACCAAGTCATTGTTCATGTATCCTGGATATCTCAGAGTGGTTGTGCTGGCAGACATTACAGTAGAAACCAAAGAATTTGTTTGAGCAAAGGTTGGATTTGTTAAATGAAGGCGCTCAACAGCAATTCTATTCAATGCAGTGTTATCAAGGACCACAACACAATCAGCATTAAGCGTTAGACGTTTAAGCGTCAAAAGTGAATTATAGGGCTGGACCACCACATCACTTGTTTCCATCTGGTTAGGAAATACACTGTATGTCTGAACCAGTTTTTTGCTGTATCGATCATTCAAAGTCTCCAATAGATAGGAACCCATGCCTGCATCATATGTTATGAATACACTCAAAATTTATTCAGGCAATAAAGTCCTTAAAGTACTTAAGAAGCCATAAAGAAGGACACTTGTGTTATACTACAAAGCACATCACAGCCATTGAAGCCAGATTTTGCCCAAATTTTTCCATTGAAGCACACCACCACATCATATGTAGTAGCTAATTCCCTATATGAATGGTCACACTTCCAATGTTACATTTTACTTATTTGACCCAGCATTGTAGTCAATAGGAAGTACTTTGACCAATCCAACCAAAAAAAGAAAGTATTTGGACTAAATGCGTTATTTAAATCATGATTGGAAAAAATAAAAAGATAAACACTAAACAGAAAAAAAGAAACCTGAGCCTGTTCCTCCAGCAATTGAATGGCACAGAACAAATCCTTCAAGACTATCACTCCCATCAGCTTCTCTATCAATCATGTCCATTATAGCCTCTTCAACACCCTTTCCCTGAAGAGAATTTACAACAACCTCATTCAACTTACATGGAAGCTAAAGCATAAAGCCTTAATATCATAAAATTACTATGGAACTGGAAAGTATTTACAGAGATTTGTCTCTAAACATCTGACTACATACAAACCTGATCATATCCACTGGCCCAATTATTTCCTGCGCCACCTCCATGATCTGAAACAAAGACGTTTTCATGATTGTAGAGATTTCGATATTCACTGTTTTGAATACCATTAATTACTCTTGGCTCCAGGTCAATCAGCAAAGCTCGCGGTATGTAGTGTTGATCATCAGCTTGATAGAAAAACACATCTTTCCGATCTCCACCCTGCAGTATTTCAATCAAAAGATAATTACACATCTAAATCAAGAGCGGGACTGAAGAATATCTATTTTCAATAGGTATTTCCCTGATCAGCACTTGATAAGATTGCTATGTTGCCTGCTGCCTGATGACCCTTACAGCCACAATTCAGATAAAAAATGCACTGCTCCTGATTGCTTTTCTTGTTGGCAAGTTTGATTACTTTAGCCAGTTGTGCAAAACAACAGAAGACCACCAATTCTTAGTCTACCTTTGTATTAAGATGGAAATCAACACAACTTAGTCCGGACATTCACCTCAAAGATCTCAGTAAGGAGAACGATTCGAATAAAGGAAATGCTTTATCTATCAGTCAGCCATCAACAGAAAATTCTCAATTGAACTCAAACTTTTTAGTTGTAACTGTTTATTATACTAACTGAGAAAAAATATATATTTCTCAACTGAGCCTCAATGACGACTCATATAAGTTTAGACAATTATAAATTCGATTTCCTATTCCTCATCATGCATACCGCAAACGCTTACATTCCCGAACACAGAATGTGGGCGACTTTAAATTCACTAATTCATCAATTCATAACCCCCCAAAAAAAATATCACACTTCAACTAAGCCTAGCACGGCAACTTCAAATTCCATTAATTTTCTCACAAACCAAACACAGAGAGTAGCTGAGTAAGATTATACATAGTAAGAAGTGAATGAAGAATCACCTGAGTGGCAAAGTCCTCGAGAATTCCATCTTTGCTGATTCCATGCTCGAGGCAGAGTTGTTTCCAGAACTCCATGCCGATCTGATTCCCGCATTGTCCGACCTGCAATGTGATGATCTCTCTCGGCATTTTCCCTCACTTTCCCACTCTCAGAAGAAAACCTAGGGTTTGTTTGGACCGATGGAAAACTAAAAACAATAGAAAATGGCGGCAGACTATGAAGAACGCTAATGTGCACTTTTCAGTCCGACTTTCCGCCCAAATTGAAGAAACTGCAATGAAATAGTATGGCCAGGCGGCTATACTACGTGTTTTTATTATCACACAATCATACAGCCGGGCGGCTAAACGGTCTCCCCTTACATAGTATAGCCGTACGGCTATACTATTTTTACGCGGTCCGGAATGGGCGCTAGGGGACAGGCGGGTCCTTTTTATTTTAATAAATAGTATAGCAGCGCGGCGAAAAGTAGATTTTTTTATAATAAAAATAGTATAGCCGACCGGCTATACTACTTTTGACACTTGGCAAAATGGGCGCAGGCGCCAGCGGTCTCCCTTTTTTATAAGGGAGTTTCACTAAAACACCCAAAATGGGGGCTGAAATTATAAAAAAACCAAACACCCAAAACACTTTATAAACACACCTAAAACTCATCATTACACACACTCAAAACTCATTTATAAACACACCCAAAAAATATACAATTGTTGATTGTGAGGTTAATTATGGGTGTGTTTCTATGTTTAAATAGTGTTTGGGTTTTTTTATAAATACATGTTTAGGATTGGGTTTATTTATAAATAGTATATCGGATTTTTTAAATAATAAAAACGTAGAGCCGAACGGCTATACTGCCTTTTTATTATTTAAAAATAGTATAGCCGCACGGCTGGACTATACGCGTGGCAAAAATGGGCACAGACGCTACGCTAGGTGGGTTCTGTTTTAATGAACAGTATAGCCGCACGGCTATACCTGGATTTTTTAATAATGAAACTATTGCCGCTCGGCTGTACCGGTTTTGACAGGATTATGAATAGTATAGCCGCGCGGCTATGCGCTGCATGTTTTAATAAGAAGAGTATAACCTTGCGCCGGTACTCCCCATCACTGATTGTTGTAAGACGAGGCTTGGAAGATATTGAGCTCAAGAACATTCAAATTCCCGAAGGAACCAACATTGAGATTCCAATCCCAATACTGCAGCAACTGCCTGATGCCCTCGACTTCAATCCGAAAAGATTTGAGCACGGAGTTCTTGGGCCTTGCAAGTTTCCTCAGGCTTATATGCCATTTGGAGTTGGTGCTCGCAATATCTGTTGGACAACACTTAGCCATGACAGAATTGAAGGTGATTCTCTCTTATTCTATCCAAGTTTTGCTTCTCACTCTCCCCTGCATACCAGCACTGCCCGGCTTTGAGATTGTTTATCGAACCTGAACATGGAGTAATTCTCCATATGAGGAGAGTTTTACACTAGTTGTGTTTTTCTAGATTTTATCATAGTGCTTTTATGCATTTGCTTTTCACTGTGCGTGAACATTGAATTGAAAAAACAAGGAATTATAATCTCACACGCATGAGGATAGTGAGAGAACCTCACCCTCCTTCCTAACTTTGGCAAAAAAAAAAGTCGTTTCAAGTTTTTTTTTTTTTTTTTTTTTTTTTTTTTTTTTTTTTTTTTTTTTTTTTTTTTTTTTTTTTTTTTTTTTCAAGTTGATTCTGGAGTGTGTGGACGTGTGGCCTGTTTTTATTGGACACTAGTGCCACTTGGCATGGATGAGGTGGCACTAAGTGGTGATCCCTTGTGAGGGGGCGTATTGAAGATGAATGTGAAAATATAAGTTACGAACGAAAAATTGAAGGCAACTTTAATTTCTAGATTAATTTTTTGATTTTGAACAAATTGGCTATAACAAAGAGTTGAGAAAATTTTGACAATTCTCTCAACTTATTCAAAGCTCAAATGCTCCATTCCAATCTGCCTCCGGGAAACAAAACCAAAGAAAGAATCACAGCGGAGAAGTTGAAGACTTATATCAAATCCCCACGCTGAATGAGTGTTTCAAGCTGCCAACATGAAGGACATGATGTCCCAAGGCAACTTTCCTATTTCCAAGCTCATCAACCACACTCAAATGCTTGCAAACATCCACCTTAAACTTAACCAATTCTTCTCTCTGAGCACTCAGGAACACCTTCTCAAAACCCAACAGGTGCTTCTGAGGTGAGTTGTGCACTGATGGAGGACTCGAAAACAACAAAACGGTATGGCCTCCACTCATGCTTCCTGTGTTCTTCACCCCCAAATGGATGTCAAAAGCTAGATTTTCACATCTTTCTTGGACAACATCAAGTGATTTGCAACTTGATGAGTGACATACATGACCCTCCTCTAAGGGAATTGATACGAGCTTAGGCGCTCGAACTAGTTTGTGATTGAACGCAGAGTAGCCTAGTCCATCTCCAAACGAATAAACGGTTTCTCCAGTGTAGAATCTGTAAGTCCGGCCAGGGTAACCATTTGAAGCATCCGGTCTCATGTTCATGTTTGTCATTGGTACCTTGTCTACGTAAGATTGTGGATACCATGTCATAGGTAGTCTTCCACCTGGAAGAAATTAATACCAATCATCTATCATAGGAAAAATGCTTAACATTGTAAACCTGAAAAGAAATAAGAAACATGAAAAGAGAGTAGACTATAGACAGCTTACTTGGATTATAATGACCAAAAATCACATCAGCTATGGCAGCTCCACCAGCTTCTCCGGGGTAACCAACCCATAGGATGCTTGTAATTTTACTATCATTTTTCGCGAATGAAATGTCGAACCCTCCTCCAGACATTATGACAAGGATTACAGGGCCTTTGGATGCCTTTGCAACTTCTGTTACTAAAAGTGTTTGCTGTCCTGGAAGATGAAGGTCAATCCTGTCGCGACTCTCTGCCTCTATTGATTGATCTGCACCCACTACAAGTACAGTTGCATCAGCTGAGGCTGCTGCCTTCTTAGCATCATCTACCTGGGCAGTGCCACAAGCCACATTGGCGCAGCCAGGGACATAAGTTGTTGCAACTGAGGCACTTAGGCCTTGCAAAGGACTCGTATACTTGCATGGAATGCCTGCAAAAAAATCCACTAAAATTGTGTAACAGAAACAACCGTATGCAGTTGTTTGATACAAAAAAAGGCTGAATTAATTTTGGGTACCTTCATAATTTCCGATCATTGTCTTTGTGACATCGGCATTGGGACCAATGACTGCCAAGGATTTGATGGCCGTGGGAGACAGAGGCAGTGATCCTGGACTGTTCTTGAGCAATACTATCCCTTGCCTCGCAGTCTCACGGGCTAGCTCCTGGTTCTCTGGGGTACACACATCCTTTGGACCAAGCTTTCCGTAGGGTAGCTTGCTTGGATCACCGTCAAAGAAGCCTAGACGCATCAATGTGGCAAAATTGTTTGAGATGGCCTTGTCAATGGCCGCCTCATTCACAAGTCCTCCTTTCACTGCACCTTCTGTATATTTTCCAAGGAAAGGTCCACAGTTGAGATCCACCCCTGCCAAATTCAAACAAGTACAGAAAACTGATTAGTCATGCTTAAAATAGTTTCTTTGTGACATTGGATATACCAAAATATAACAGTTGGTGTGACATTGGTGATCTTTGTATGATTTAGAGCACCTTCTCCATTTCTTCTTTATCTTTTCGTTCTTATGTTCTTTTGTTTGTTTTTTGTTTTTTATTTTTGACTTTATTTTTCAATTTCTAATGGAAAATAATGAGTCTTTGTCCCTTAAGTAAACTCTGTAATCACACGCATAATGACCAATTTGTAGGATGTCAAATTCACCTGCCAATAAAGCCTTAGCTGCAGCTTCCTCTGGTGTCTTGGTGTAGTGTTGAGTATTGTAGTATACATCTAATGAATCACAATCCGTAACTATGTATCTGCAGCAATCCAATATCCCCTTCATCATCCTGAATAATCAATCATGTCTAATAAGAAAGACTTAATTAGAACAGAACAGAAATACCCATTTAACTTCCATTCGCCACGGATGACTCCGGCAAGAAGGTCTGGATCTGCACAGGTTGGTATCCCATTAACCTGGTTGTAAGAACACATGACACTAGCAACATTCCCATCTATAACACAGCTTTTGAATGGTGGTTGAAATGTGTCATCCAAATCTTGCTTTGTTACCTAATCACAAGCAACACAAGATAAATGAAAATGGAGCGCAACTTAAACCAACTACTTAGTCGAATTCACACATTAGGAAAATCCAATTTCTTTACCACTGCATTAAAGTGGTATCTGTCAACCCCTTTCCAATTGTCCAAATCATAAGCTGTATAATGTTTGCAACATGCAGCAACCTTGAGCTTATTTTTGTCACCACCATCTGTCTGCTGAAGGCCTCTAACATAACCCGACCCGTATTTGCTCGACAGCAACGGGTCTTCTCCCGGAGTCTCCTGGCCCCTTCCCCATCTGGGGTCCCTAAATATGTTAATGTTTGGAGACCAATAAGTCAATCCTGCCAATCCCACATTGTACATTGCTCTGGCCTCGGTTGAGACCACCTGCGCACACACACATTAAGCTGTTTTTCATTCTATGCACGAAACTAACATCTCTGTCATGGACCACGTGCAACCATACAATACAAGTTATGGTGTTACAAGACAGAGAGAGATGGAAGAAAAATAGAAGATGACAGATTCAAAAAGAAAAAAAGAACAAAAGAAAAAAGGGATTTAATTATGCTCCATTATTCCCAAGACTTTTCCCAAATTTGGATCTATCTCAATAACCTAATGTTATGAAAGCTAATTAGCATACAAAATGTATCTGCTTTAGTAAGTGAGCTTCATTAAATTAAATTATTTTGCGCATCGTCTGCTCCACGCGTGTAATGTTCAAAACAGAAGATTTTTATTTTTTTTGTGGGGAAAGATATGATAAGTTATATGCAGTGATTAATGTCACAGGTAATCGATCAGTATCATGTCTCTTGTACTTTCTTTTCTTCATCTGCAAGCTGGAATGCCATAAAAGTCTATATACTTGGGGAATCTGTGACTTAAAAAATCAACTTTTTTCAACAACTATTACTATTGGTATTAGGTATGGCCAAACCACCCAAACACAAGTCAATCATTTCCACCAACAAAAATCTACCATTTTCATGATCATAATTATTGAAAACTAACCTCCAAGTTTTAACAACTGTTACAACTTGCTTCTACTTCAAAATATCTAAAGGGCAATGGGCAAGCCGCTGACAGATGCTTTTCTGTTCAAAAGCTGTAAAAGTGCTTTTATTTTTTTATGGATTTGGATTATAGGAGCTTAGAAAAACAAAATAAAAAAATGTCGACAACTTTAGAGAATATACATTTCTGTTTTAATTTATTAGTGCCATTGAAGTCTGTGATGTTTACTGGTAATGCATCTCAACCACAAGAACAAGAAACAAACTAATAAATACAAATAAGTGTTAATGATTATTGGTGACGGGTAGAATGACAGTGACACCAAATGGTGAAGATTCAACATGACAAATAAATCCATGATTGATCCAACTTTGAAAATGAACGGCTACTAAACCAGTAAAATCAACAAAACCAGTCACACAAAAAATTATTTGCCCTGGTAACAACTATTGTTTCAACCTCATCAAATTTACCTAAATTAATGAAACAGAATATGCAAAAACAACCCAACAACTACAGAGAGAGAGAGAGAGAGAGAGAGAGAGAGAGAGAGAGAGAGAGAGAGAGAGAGAGAGAAGACTTTGTTCTGTTCTGGTCTGCTCTTATTTTGATTTGTTATAACTGTGAAGCATACTCATCAAAGATTGAAAACAAAGATGACGATAATAGGGAAGAATATTAAGGACAGTTGTAGTGAGAGAGTTAGTTTACGTACCCTTCCAATGGCTTCAAACAGAGAGGCATTGAAAGAAGCGGCAGTCAAAATGACCTGAGGGAAGCTGGTAGCTCCCGGAACGACATTCGTAAACTTGGTCCCGGGGCCAACGTTGGACACTCCATGTAAAGCCTCAGACCACCACTCATACTTTGGTATCCCAAGCCTGCTCACGCTACCTGCACTGTTCACCAAGAACCCAATTTTCTCTTGCAATGTCAGCCTCTGCACCAGGTCCGCTACCCTCAAATCGATCGCTAATGACTTGTCGCAGAACCCGAAGCTTGACGCGCTCGCATTGCTAGCACCATTGCAGGCGAAAACCGGTGAGGATTGGGCAAAAACCCGGTTCGCATTAGGTGACAAGAATAAGTGTTGGAACATAAAGGAGCAGAGGAAAACAGAGAAAACAGAGAGCTTGGGTGCTCTGTTTTGAGCAGAGGAGGCCATTGTTTGTGGCCTTGAAAGGGTTAGTT